ACTGAGTTGCTATATTGGCAACTGCATTTTTGTGGTTGCCGCCGAAATTTTGATTGAGATAATTTATTTATTTTTTCAACTGTTTTTTCAGCTTATTTACACTCAAGTCTTAGTTGCTGGTTCTTCAAAATTTTATTACCTTCAACATTATAGACAACAACATTATTTAACGTAGAAGTTCATATTCATAATCGACTCATTAGTCTAATTTATGACTGATTGGCATTGTCGACTGTCATACTGAAATAAGTAGTCGACGAAAATCGTCCAAAACTATCCAGTGCTACCAAGTTTTTCTTTTTTAATACACTAGTCGGGTCGAAAAATTAGGCAATGGCATGTAATTTTTCATACGGCTCGACTCTCGAAAAACGACTTTCACTCGACACGACACTCGCAATGATTATCCACTCTAAGTCAAATTTTCTAGTTGTTATTGCTTTCTCGTTATCAAGTATTTCTAAAAAGAAATTTGAGGTTTTTTTTTAATTGATCGAATTTTCAGGCAATGCCACGTACTTTTCGATACGACTCGACTATCGAAAAACGACTTACATTCGAATGAGGTTGAATATCTTTTCCGCTGGTTTTAGCGTTATTTTCTTTCAAAAGGTGAAGAAATTTAAGAACGCTCTGAACATTTGCCCCGGTATTGAAACCTACCGTAAGTTGCCTAACTTCCTGATACAATTTGCGGCCGTTTTCCCTGTCGCTTAGCATTTGAAGCTCATCGTACCGAAGTACAGAGCTTTTTAAATGGATGGAGCTGAATGCCACTGAATCCAACATGGAAGAAGAAATAAAACGAACATTTTTTTTATTATTGAATTCAATATTGATTATATTTGTTATTGAGTTCCTTTTATGTATTTTTATTTTCCGTTTAATACATTTCACTTTTTGATTGTTTAAACTAGGGGTTTTTTAATGTTATGCAATAGTTTACGACTAAATTACGAGTTAATATTTTTGAAATATTCCATATATATGTATATGTGTTTTAGGTAATATTAATTAATATTTATATTTATATATGTATATGCGTATATATTGAATGTGTGTATGTATAGTTTACGCATATTTCCATTTTTCAATTAGCGTTATTTCTTTCACTTATTAAACATTAAACTGACAATTAGAAGAATTGTGTATGTATGGAAATATTCATGTTAATTATGTATGTACTTGTAAGTTGTTTGTTTTTTTGCTACGATTGGTATATTTTTATATTTCGTAGCTAGATATATATGTACGGGTAAATTGATAATAGCAATGGGTGACCAGCGAAAAAAAAAACGTATTCAAGGACAATTACAAGTGATTGCATTAACTCAAAAAAACGATAAGGATAAGGCAAGTTAAAGAACAACGAAGATCATTAAAAATTAAAAAATTGTAGAACACGGACTACTAAAATACAAAACGCCAGCAGTGGAAAATAAGAGAAACGCCAGCGACACGGCTGATGTATCGTAGTGTCTTGTGAAATCAGCCAATGGGTTTTGTGCTTAACTAACGAATCGGCACTAATATTTATGGATTTAACTGTTTTACAATTAATACACTTGAAATATGTGGTCGAGCGTGCGCACGAATTAATCCTGTTATTCACTTAGCCTAAATCTCACTTAAATTGATTGCATGTTCATATTGTATGTATGAATATGTGTATAAGAATGCATAAGTATGCTTACACTTTTTGCTAAACGGCTATGTTAGGTATTTATATGAAATATCTGTATGTTCCTATGCATATGTACATGTATATGCACACATATGCCCTATTGAAGAGCCACCACACCCTCGTTGCTAATAGTTGCTTAGAAGTATGTATGACTATGTTTCTCGCATGTAGTAGCACGGGAAAGTAAACTAAAATTGCTGTTTGTCCACTGCGCACATTTGTCTCTTCACTAGTATCTGCATTTAGAATACGCAACTTTGCCTAAAACTATGCTGTATTTTCTCTCTTCATTCAGCTAGTTAAGATTATATATATTATGTATATGTTATGAATATTTCAAGTATTACTGGCGGGTATTACAAAAACTAAACGTGTTTTTAGCTAATTTGTAAAACTCTTTTTGTGTTTTCCTCTTGCAAATTTATGTAGGTGTAAGTACCTGTAGTGTATCAATACATAAGACATATAAGCTATAATACATGTACACTTCTCGTTGGTATAAATACGTGACAGAATAGAAAAAATACATGAAGATTTGCTCAAGAACAAATGTATGTGTGTATGTACATATGTATTAACAAAACAGTTACATAACACTAAATTTAGTTTTAAATCGTATAAATCAATAATAAGCTAAACGAAAATAATAATAAGCACAACTACTTCACACAAACAAATTTAAAGCACTTCGCCATTATAAAAAAAAAACATATTTGTATCTAGCTCCGCTTTATCATTACTCCACAAGAATTATGAATTTAATAAGTCCAAGTATCTATAAGTTTGATTATCTATCGTTTACGTTTGCTACTCTTTCCATCGCCATTATTTTTAAATCCTTGGCTTGCCTAATTATTTAGCTTCGAAATTTTGTTGCCATTCTTTACGCGTTTACTTCCCTTAATTTTACTTCCTATACTGCATAAAAAATATTATCATCACAATGTTAATATAAATTTTTTGTATGTGTATTTGCAACGAATTTACAGTACATACAACGTTTATAAGCACAGTCACTGCCTAGTTTTCTAGCGCTCGAGTTTCTTCGTAGCTTGATTAAATAAATTTTCTATTCAAAATCCTGCGCTCGCATTCAAACGCATCCTCTTCAACGTGTATGAACGCAATAAATTTTTATAATTTGCGTTATTGCGTGTTCACGTCTTGAGTAAGAATGTAGTATGTAAGCTTGTGTAACGTTTGCGCTTGTGCGTTAAAAACACTCTGCTTCAACTCTAATTTTATAGTTCAAATTTTCTTGGCTGACATGTTTTATTCCCATTTTATATTTTATTTATTCTTTTTCCATTAAATTAATTTCATATTTCATATTGAATTCAGTAATTAAGAATATATTTCAAATGTTTGTGTGGGTGTGTATCAATGTATGTAAGGGAGTGTGTGTGTTTATTTGTTTCTGTACATATAACTGGTTTTTGGCTTTTCAAAATGTTTCCTTTGCTTGGTGCATAGTTTTCCAGTTACTTCTAGTTTTATTCACGTTAAACTCAGGTTTAACGATATCACCCGACTATTCAATTTGATTGCTAACTTACATCATTTTACTTGCCAACTTCTTCGTTTCGCAACATTGCGTATTTACGATAAATGGAACGACATGCTACCCTCATTTGCCGCAACTTTCAGTTTCTGTCGCATCACTTCTCGACTCGAATAATCGGGTAATTTTAAATAGTTCACACATGTCATCACCGATGGTAAATAATCATTTGGATTTTGATTACCATCAAGCGTTTTACGCACTATGGTTAGCTGTGGTGTTAGCGATTTGAAGCCGCCGGTTGGCAAACGTGGCGAGCCGGTAACGAATTGCAGGAATAATCGTTGCTCATCGCGAGTATACGATGATAGTATATCGTATAAATGTTGTATAGCTTGGGAATCTTGTGTAAAACCGTGA